GTCCCATCCATTGGCCTCTAGTGTTTGAAATACATCCCACATCATGTGGAAATCTGCAATACAGGCTCATATTGTGGTAAAATGGTGTATTAGTAGAATAATAAATTGATATAATTTTAACAGCTTTCTCTAATTCTACAGGTAATGTAGTCAGTGGACCTGATGAGTATGGTACCCAAGCAATGCAAAGTGGTGCACTTGTTGCTGCAATGATGTCATACCTCCAGTCAATGCACAGACACATAAAGAAGGAGAGTCTTTGGGTGTTGTCCAATCTGACAGCAGGACCAACAGAACACACTGATGCCTTGATTCAAGCTGGAATATTGCCGTCTATCATGGATTTGATGTCATCAACTTATGACATTAAGAAGGAGGTTTGTTCCATAATTTTTGTATTTCTCATTAGCCAATTTTGTGATAGTCTGAATACTATGTTATTCTTTATTTTCAAGAAGTATTACTAACTATATGGAAGTTGGGTACTTACATTTTATGTATCCAGGGACCCTTACCTGTTGCTGAGCCAGCATAGCCATTTAGTACCTTAGATAGGTTACTTCTCCTATAGTTGGCAGCCCAGTTATGTCCCCTCACAAAACCAACACATACGTGTTCAACTGAAATAAGGATGTAAAGAAGTGATAAGGAGGTTAAAGGATAAACAAAATGCTGGACAAGAAAACTCAGAATGGATGATAGAACCATGCTAATGAAGCTGTAATTGGATTCCTCCGCCTTAAACTGGCTGGTAGCTCTGAATGCTTAACATGGGTTTCTGTTGCACAAAGCGGCTACGACGAATGCCACTCTCCCCTGGATGGGATGATAGTCAGGTTGCCCCAACAATTTCCCGCACCAATTAACAGACTGCTGGAGAGGGGTAGTGTGAGTGTATTATGTGTTACTCAAGAACACAACACAGTGACTAAGGCCTGGATGCGAATCCAAACTGCTCCATCTGAGGTCTAGCGCTCTGAACATTAGGTTAATGTGCTTCATGTTATAACTTTAAACTAAAGAATAAAATTCAAATTTGCAAAAAGCATCCCTTATCCAGTATCACTAAAGGGTTAAATAATTTGAAGCATAAGCACTCAAAAACTAGACTTCTTGGTTTTTTCAATAGTGCTCTTTTAACGTTCCCAGTCAAGGGGATAAACAGTCGTCAGACCCTTAGAGAGAAGAACAGGTACAAGCAGTCTACAAAAAAAATCTTTCATGGCGCAATTTCTGTCAATAAACTGCCAAGAAGTTTTGAGCCCATTAAAATACCAAAATCGCACTTGAGACATTCAAGGTAAGACAATTTGGTATTTTGAATTATTTTGGCCCCGTACAAAATTATCTTTAAATTGAAGGAAACCTGCAAATAATAGTTTAGTAAGATAGAAAAACACTAAAGAGATAATAATAAACCTAAATCTTAAAGGAATAAGGATGATGAAGGATGGAGAAGATTTAGCACGGATTACAAACGAAGAACTTGAAAAATGTAGGCTAAACCGTCATATAGCTTCTTAAAAACTCCTGTTTCCCTTTATTTTGTTCACAACAGGCAGCCATTTGCTTGTGCAACATATCCCATCATGGGCCAGATTACCTGAAGAGTGTTTTAGACAGCGGAGCCATGGAAGCCTTCATCAACATCATCAAATCTCCTGACCAAGAATCTGTCATAACAGGCCTTCAGTTTTTTGAGATGGCGCTGAGAAACTTTCCAACCTCTAAAGAGTTGTTTGAGGTTGCCGAGGGCGTGGCTTGTCTAGAGGCACTAGAGTACAACTGTAATGAAACAATCTGTCGATATGCAAATGAGCTTCTTGATACGTATTTCATGGAGGAAGGACTGGACGAAGATGACAATGATGACGACAAGGACAATGCTGGAAACGACGTGTCGTCATGGAGATATCAAGACAGTGAAATGACCGCATAGTGTACTTTGATTTTGATTGCAGAGGTTAACGTATGGATAGCTGTTTAAGTCGCTCCCTGTCGGAACATTGATTTAGTTCAAACTCAATCCCAGGCTGTCTCTCCTTTGACTTCCTTGTCAGGTTGGATGAAGTTTACGTCGGCAGTTTTATCTCTTACAGACTGTGTTGTGTGGAAAGGAAACAAGAATACAGTCCAATGCAGCGAGATTTTACTTTCTCTTTGGTTGCCGAGCAAGGAATCAGCGACATTGTTGTGAAGATTGCAACCACACACTGCTGTTACCATGTTCAAAACCAAGTACATTTTTAACGTTTTCGCTTTTTCTTATACCTGTCATTTTTTTTTTCTTTTTTTTTTTTTTTAATGACAATATTTTTTCTGTAACCTGGGAAAACGAATACCCCTTTACCGAGAGAACTGAGATTTTAGCCAAATAATTTATGTACCATTCTCGTCCCTCTAGCCATTTTCGCTTCTCTTAACTGGCGGGGCCTTGGCACAAGCCCCTCGTTGTTGTGCCAAGACCCCGCCGGCTAGGAGAAGTGAAAAGGGCTATGGGGACGAGAATGTATATGTACTGGTAGTTTCCTTTTCTCGAGTCGAATCCAAGCCGTGATTTTCTCGGGAGAATGGGACGGAAGACCGCTTACTTGGACTCTTGTGTGAGAATGCGTCCCTAGTATATGACACTTGATGTATGTTTTGGATTTAACGTGCTGTCATACAATTGTGAAGACCTTTTTAAATAAACTGCTTTAGTTGATTAACTTTATCTGTTAAATCGTAATGATAGGTTGAAAACCCTTTGGTGGACAATCCGATTTTGAATAGTTTCCTAATAGATAATGCTCTACTCTGTGGAACGTCCAACCTCGCCGCAACGACCACCTTGTGGACAGAAGAAAGTGGCCGGGGGTGGCCGTTATGAGGAGGTAAGGGTGCACTACGACACCTGTTTTCCTTCATGTTGCATAAATATTTTGACCTTGACAAATCGCTTATTGTGGCATATAATACGTAATTCAATCAAAATATATCAATGAAACGAAACCAGGCAGAAACAATAAGGTAGAAAAACACTAATTACAAACAAAACAAAATGACAGGTAGACGGTTACGACTGGAAAAGATTGAGGCAGATGACGCATGACTGATGGTGCGTCATCTCCTGAAGACTCATGTAAGGTACGGGGGCAGGGGGGGAGAGAGCCTACGCGAAAGTCGTGCTAGTTACCGATCCCGAAAAGTTGTTGTTGTTGTTGTCGTTGTTGCCTTGTTCACGTTCAAGATCGACATGTTAATAGTTTTGGAATTCTAACAATAAAATAATAAGGAAACGAAACAAAACAATGGATATCTGGTTTTCTTTTAGGAGACTTTGGACTTTCTGGAGTCGGCAGCAGAATACCGATTCCGCTTATGCATGACTCCGTCTTATGATCTGGTTAAAAATAAAATAGATTGCCGGACATGTCGGTGTGATTCAGAACCGCAAGACGGCAGAAGCCGAGGAATAAACCAAGCACAATGCTCGATTACTAAAAACTACTTAATAACCGAGAGTGANCGTAACGACAGAACGGTCGAGGTTATTAAGTTGTTTATTATAGAGTGGTTTTCAATTGAGTGTCGTAAAACCAAAACCAGAGTAATTACTCTACCCAATCACAAAGGACACAGACAATACAGTAAGCCAAATCAAAACTCTAAGTAATTACAGGTAGCTGACGCAAAGCGACGGAAAATGCATGCGAACGCGTCACAATTGGTTTTGGTTGTACGTCTGATTGGATGAAAAAGTGGCGCGAGTGTTTTAAGCCAATCGTGTGGCATAGAAAGTGCAAAACCATTTACTTTTCGACACTCAAATGAAAACCGCTCTATGGCTCATGTATTCACATTTCCTTACGGGAAAAGTGATTGTCACAGCCTCAAAAAGGTATTTTAGTATCATGGTGCCACAAGTTGATGGGGGAGTTTTTCCCACTTTTGTGGCGAAACGTCAACGCATATAGAAAAGACAGAAAGTGCTTCAAAATGGTCCAAACCAACCGTCTTTCGGTGAAAGAAAATACCAGAAATACTAATGCTTCAGAATGCACTGCTCAAAATAACTCGATCTTCGCATTCGCTTTCGACAACATATCTTCGCCTTCTTCATTCTGGGATTTATGGATGAACTTTTCAAGCCTTGTGAACGTCGACGTCGACGTCTAAAACTTGCTGCAGTTATCAAAAACACTGCTACCGACAGAAACTGCCCGATTGTTTACATCTGATGATCCTGGAAGCTGATTTACACCTGCTTGTGTTAAATGAGAACTGTGACGGAGTTCAATATTTCGGTAATTGTTGTGACTAAGATGATAACTTTTAAGTTCCTTCGTGGTGTTCTGCTCAGGATGTATGACAGATCTGCCGTTTTTCACTTAGCGATTTTAGCTCAAACTTTGATTGTTTTTCACTGGTAAGTCAAAAACGACTTCTATATAAATTTTATTGAGGAAAAATCTCTGAACTTTTAGCTACTTACTTTCTCTTACCGTTTTTAATCGGCTTTCATCGCTTCAATGCGCTTGAGTTTTCAGAGCCGGGCTCTTGCTAATTTGTACAATCCGTAATCGGCCCGTACCGTGGGCATTACCTAGCTCTTATTAACCGAGCAGGAGGCCTGTATGGGAGAATCTTGACCGAGGTCGTGAGTACAGACCGAACGCAGTGAGGTCTGTACACACGACCGAGGTCAAGATTTTCTCATACAGACCGACTTAGCTCGGTCAATAAGATGTTTATTATATGGCAAAGAAGAAAACTTTAATTCGTTTAATGTAACTGGTTTGCTGACATTTTGCTTGCAAACGGAGCTGAGCTTAACTCAAACCTGCCGAAATTTGCTCGTCCTCTTTACTTTTTTTTTTTGTCATCAGGCTTTTGGCAATTCCATAAATGATTGAGAAGAAAATAAAAGAAAACGGTGAACATTTTTGTATTTTAGTTTGCTACTTTTTCAACGCAAAATGAAACCGGTNNCGTTAAAAACACTCATTTCTTTACGGGAAAAGTGACTGTCACAGCCTCAAAAAGGTATTTTAGTATCGTGGTACCACAAGTTGATGGGGGAGTTTTTCGGACTTTTGTGGCGAAACGTCAACGCATATAGAAAAGACAGCAAGTGCTTCAAAATTGTCCAAACCAACGCTCTTTCGGTGAAAGAAAATACTATGCTTCAGAATGCACTGCTCAAAATGAGCTTAACTCGATCTCCGCATTCGCTTTCGACAACATATCTTCGCCTTCTTCATTCTGGGATTTATGGATGAACTTTTCAAGCCTTGTGAACGTCTGCAGTTATCAGAAACACTGCTACCGACAGAAACCGTCCGATTGTTTACATCTGATGATCTTGGAAGCTGATTCACAATTGCTTGTGTTAAAGCGAGGGAATCTATTTCATGAGAACTTTGACGGAGTTCAATACTTCGTTAATTGTTGTGACTAAGATGATAACTTATAAATTTCTTCGTGGTGTTCTGCTCAGGATACGAGAGAGATCTGACGATGGTGTTTTCACTTAGCGATTTCGATAAACTTTGATTGTTTTTCACTAGTGCCCGCCAAGGTTACCGGCTGGTAAGTCAAAAACGACTTCTATGTAAATTTTATTAAGGAAATATCTCTAAACTTTTAGCCACTTTCATTCTCTTACTGATTTTAATCGGCTTTCATCGCTTCAATGCGCTTGAATTTTCAGAGTCGGGCTCTTCCTAATTTGCATAATCCGTAATCGGCCCGTGGGCATGCTTATTATATGGCTGTGTCTCACAAAGACTGGGAACTACCGAATTCACGAATTTGATTGGCTGAAATCGATATTGACCGCGGTCTAAATTTTCCCAT